GTGTACTAGGGCTCACTTATCTGGAAGCTATAGAGTGTGGCCTGGCAAATATTAACTTGAGAGGATCTTCTTGGGGGAAACTGGATCTCAAACCTGGCAGTCGGTACAATTCATGGCCAATTTCCGATTAATGGTAAACAGTTCTAAGCTAGTCAGAAACCTTCCTTCTCCGTGGGAGCTCTGCGTATGAGGCAGCAGAAGAGAATCCAGATGAGGGAAGAGATGAGTTGGGGTAGGAGGCAGAGCCTGGAGCAATTCCCTAAGGCACCCTTGAAAGCCCAGGAAACTATAATTTCCAGAGTCTTCTGCTCTGTGTTCACTCTCCCTGCTACCTGATAATACTCTAGCTGCCTCCAGGCAACTTCCTCAAGGCTTGGTCTGTTCCTGTCTGAAGGTGACCCTGAGTCTAAGACAGAGGCGGCAGTTAAAAGGCTCGGCTACCTGAGAAAGCTCTAAATGAGAGCGAGCTTTGTGAAGAGCTGCCTAAAGCATTTGGGAAAGGAGAAAAAAAAAAAAAAAGTTGAATTATTTGTATTTCCCAGGGATCTTCAGGGCCTTTGCTCTGCTAGTGTTCAGGGTGTCGTGGACATCTCAGTGGACCCTGGACACATCCCTGCTCTTCCTTAGCTGCCGGTTTAGGGAAGTCAGTCTTGTGTCAGGACAGGAAATCATCTGTACTTACACTGCCCACTTGGCTAGATTTCTTCCCTTAAAACAAACACTTCCCAATCTCAGTGTGGAGAATCCTCTAACTTAAACAGTCCTCTCAGGGAGAAAAGTAAACAACTCTTGCAGTTCTTCTTGATTTGTGATTCATAAATCTGTTCCAATTCATCTTTAGTTTTTCCTTCACCCATGAATCAAGCGTTTACTGGATGTCACTGTTTGCCAAGCACAGTATTAGGCACTGGATACCAAGCTAATGGAGCTCTGGCCCTTTAGGTACTTAAAGCCTCACTGGACATTTCCCAAGCAGCAGGATATCACAGCAGGGTAGAAAGTGCTCAGAAGCTATCCCAGCCCAGAAGAGGGATCTCTAAACAGAGTGTGTGTGGTATGGAATGGACTGTGTCCTCCTGAATTTCCCATGTTGAAGCTCTAACCCCCAGTGTGACTGTATTTGGACATAGGGCTTTTAGGAAGAAACTAAGGTTACATGAGATCATAAGGGTGGGGTCCTAATCCAATTGGATTGGTGGCCATATAAAAAGAGCATGAAAAAGAGATCCCTCTCTCTCTCCACATGCACACAGTGGGAAGGTAGCTGTCTGCAAGCCAGGAAAAGAGGTCTCACCAGAGCCTGACCATGCTGGCATCCTGATCTTCCAGCTTCCAGGACCATGAGAAAGTAAATTTCTGTTGATGGTATTTCGTTGTGGCAGTCTGAGCTAAGATAGTATGTGTGTGTGTTTGAGGGGCAGTGGGGCGGGGGGTGGGGTGGGGAGATAGGAGCTTCCCAGAATTGTTGGCACCTCACCTGCCCCCAAAGGACTGTCCAGCTTTGTCATCAGGCTTTGAAGATAAATGTGTAGGGCTGACTTCTTGTAGTTTATAAAATTTCTTAGCCAAGTCTGGGATGACTTCCTCAGGACTCAGCAAAGTCAGCCTAGATATGTACAGTCCTGTCTCCCAACTCAGTCCCCACAGGGCCCAGTTCAAATCCCACCACTTCTGGCACTATCTGTAATAGAACTGATATCTCTCTCCTTGGGAATTATTTGAAACCTGATCATGACATTTTCATTTGTTCTTGTTATCTTACCCACAATTAGATTGACTGTCACATAAGTGCAAAGATCATGTCACTTATTTCTTTGCCTCTATTCCTAGGAAGGTAGAGTAGGGCTTGCCCATAGAGCCTGGTCCATAAATGTTTGTTGTTGCTGTCATCAGACAGACTTGGCTGGATCTAGGCTCTGTTGTTTACTATGTGACTCTGGGAAAATTATTTAACCTCTTTGAGCTTTGGTTTCCTCATCTGTACTATGGTGATAATATTAGGGCTTATCAGATGGATTTGCTGGCACAATGAATGAAGCATTGTGTATAGAGTGCTTAGCACAGGATCTGGCCTTTAGCACGTGCTTGGTATAGTCTTGTTGAAAACCTTTTGATATTTGTCTTTACCAGACCCCGTCTCTCATTTGCATGTTTCCTCCTGCAAGACCATTTACTGAGTGACTCACCTATTTGCTGGAAAAATGAAGATAACCTGATGGGCTTTAAACTCTGTTTCTTAATATCAAGGAGATAAAAGGTAGAGGAGGGAGAGTAGAGAAGGAGAAGTGAGAAAAGAAAGGAAGGACTGGGAGAAGCAGAGAAATCGCCTTTATTATACCAGTGTCTTACCTGTGCTGGCCTCCTGCCATTCCTGACCTTAGACACATTTGGGCCTGAGGAGGTGGGAGGGGGGAACCACAGCCAGCCATGGATCCAAAGCTGCAGCCTGGAGCACAGGGTCCTCTTTAATCAAAGGGCTGCATACTGCATGGTGTCGGCCAACTGCAGTGAGCTGAGGGCTATATGAGGGGGCCAGTGCCCAGGGAAGGGATGCAGAGCCTGTGGAGCCAAGGGAGAGGAGGGGACCATGTGACCAAGGGCTTTGTGAGAGCACTGGGTTGCCCGGGTAGGTGAGCTTGTGGAGAGCACTGAGCATCCTTGCACCTTGGAGGAGACCCATCCCCACATGGCAAGGACAGGAGACCAAGAGAAGGAGGTTGCACCTCACCCATGTTGGTAAGGTTCCTCTACTTAGCCCAGTCTGCTGACACCCCTCCCAGAAGCACAGACCCCACCTGGGCTCAGGGTGACTGGTTCCCTGGCTTGTGCAGAAAGATTTGGAAACAGGTTGTAGTTTGAAAATGTTCCCATGAGCTTCAAAAAGAGATGAAAGGGTGAGAGACAGGAGGTCAGTAGGGGTTCAAAGTTAGAAACCATCAATCAACTCTCTGGAGAGTCCTTAGGGAAGTCATACTTATCCATGCAAAGTAAGTGGAGAAGGAAGATAGAAAGTTGTTCTGCCGCAGATGAGGGGTTAACCGTCTCCCCATTTGTAAGTCTTCACAGCACTTCCCCCTAAGGTTTCTGCAATCCTGAATTATTTTTCAAAAGTCTCATATCAAAGTACAGCTTTATTATTTTCAAGGAAAACTCACAATAATAGAATTTGAATTTATTTAGCCCTATGGTCATGTGTCATTTCTTTTGTAAATATTACTCAGTGTAGTGTGTTCTAACTTCACATAGAAAGGAAAAATGAGGAACCAGGATGGGTTACGTAGCAAACCAGTGTAATCAGCTGTACAATCCAGAGAGCACTGTGGGGAGAGGAGAGGATATGGTTTTAGTTGTCCTTATTCCATGTCTGAGGCAGGGCCTCAGGAGGAGGTGTGGTTCTAGACGGCTCGGAAGAACAGGACCAGATTAATAAGTGGAAATGCCAGGGAGGAGGTTCTAGCTCACTGCAGGAGAGAACTGTGGGTTGGTGCATGCCCCCAGCACCAGAAGTATTCAAGCTGAGGCTGGGTGGCCATCACCAGAGAGGAGGAAGGGGGTGTGAGCTTTGCTGTTCTGCTCTCCTGTTCTGCCCCGGCCAGCGGTCCAGGGTGCCGATGAGAGTAGGTAGCAGGTGTGTGGCTGTCTTCCTGATAGAAATCTTCAAAGACTGAGACTCTGCTTCCCCATCAGCCCAGGCTCCTTTCCTTATTTACTCTTTTGGTAAATTGATCTTTTGTCAACTCTCTAAACCATTCTGAGCCCATGGAAACCTTTTAGACTTGACCACCACGTGGGTTAAGCTTCCCAATGTGTGATCTTATTTTGCTTTTAAATAGACCTCTTTCAGGTTTCAAGGAGGAGCTTCTCAAACTTCTGGGAGTTTGAGAATGATTCTAATTCTCTTCATGATTCTATAGGCTCTGCTGGGTTTTGCCTTCCAGACCATGATCCTCATATATTGTCTTTTCCGTACTTAAACCTACGAGTCACCTTGAGAGTTTTACTGTGCTTCGCTAGATCTTTTCCAGCTTTTTAAAAATACCTTCGTGAAGTAGGATATCCTGAACCACGTGCAGCTTTTCCAGCTTACATTTCCGCAGTTTTATGCATATTTACTCTGTGGGAGGCAGTGTGGTGTATATGAAAACGCGTGATTTTAGGGCATAGAAAATCCTGGATCTTCCACGGATGTTATGGGCTGTGTGACTTTGGGGAGTTATTTAAGCAGCCACTTTGAGCATCAGTTTCCACATTTGCAAGATGGAGATAGCAGTAGGCACCTCAGATGTTCATGAGGATAAACAACCTGGCATTTAAAAAATATTTATTTATTTATTTGGCTGCACTGGGTCTTTTTTTTTTTTTTTTTTTTTTTTTTTTGGGCGCAGCTCCTGGACCGGGGTACGAACCCGCATCCCCCGCATCGGCAGGCGGACTCCCAACCACTGCGCCACCAGGGAAGCCCTGCACTGGGTCTTAGTTGAGGCACGTGGGATCTTCGTTGCCACATGCAGGATCTTTAGTTGCAGCATGTGGGATCTAGTTCCCTGACCAGGGATGGAACCCAGGCCCCCAGCACTGGGAGTGCGGAGTACTAACCACTGGACCACCAGGGAAGTCCTGCAACTTAGCATTTTAAAGCCTAGTACCCTGCCTTGCATTCAGTAAGCCCTGAACAATTTAGAGGAGATGGAGCCGGAGAAGGAGAAGAAAGTTCCCATTCTTGATTATATCTTTTTAATGAGGGACCTATTTAATGAAACAGGTAATAATTATTTCAGAGCAGTACATTTGAACCTCTCTGTCATATTCCAATTTCATTTATCTGGGTCATATTCATTTAAACTGATCTCTTCTTCCATTCCAGTCAAATAGATAAGAACGTTGTATTCACGCATTATTAAACATAACTTAAACTTGCAGCCTTGCATCTTTATAAACATAAGTGAGTAATATGTGAGAGAGATAGAGAATGAACCCCCTATCTTCTGGTTAATGTTTAGACAGTCTTGGCACCTCCCAGAAGCAAGAGCTACAGCGAGAGAAGTGGGAGAGGAGCAAGCTGCCAGGCAGAAGCCTCTCTCGGCGTTCCATCAGCAAGGAGAGGTGGGTGGAGACACTGGTGGTGGCCGACACGAAGATGATTGAGTACCATGGGAGCGAGAATGTGGAGTCCTATATCCTCACCATCATGAACATGGTACGTCAGACCACGTGGGGACAGGGGCAGCTGGTGAATATATACCACTAGAGATGCTCCATTCCCCAAATAAGAGACCTTCTTTTGATCCCTTTTTTTTTTTTTTTTTTTTTTTTTTTTGGATGATTTGCCTTGTTTAAATGTTGCCTTAAATGTGGCCTCTCCCGTTGCGGAGCACAGGCTCTGGACGCACAGGCTCGGCAGCCATGGCTCACGGGCCCAGCTGCTCCGCGGCATGTGGGATCTTCCCGGACCGGGGCACGAACCCGTGTACCCCGCATCAGCAGGTGGACTCTCAACCACTGTGCCACCAGGGAAGCCCCCTTTATTTTTTTAATTTTTTTTTTTGGCTGCACAGCTTGCAAGATCTTAGTGTCCCGACCAGGGATTGAACCGGGCCCTTGGCCCTGAAAACACAGAGTCCTAACCACTGGACTGCCAGGGAATTCCCTGGTCCTTTTAATATAGATATATGTATATATTTGTATGTATATTTATAAATATATTCCATGCCTAGATATTCAAGGACAAATTATTCTTTCTCTTAAAAACATGTATCCTAGGAAAACTTATAATGTACCATGTACATTTTCTACTAGTTACTTATCAAGTGACTCAATCATTTTAGTACGATTTTTTCCTCACTGATTTATATAAGTTCACAAATGAGGAAACTGAGACAAAGAGCTAGAACATGATTTCTTCAAGGTAGTTGGAGCTAGAATTGGAGTAAAGTTAAGGACCCCTAATTTGAAGCTTCCGTTTTGCCTTGTAATGCTTCCTGCTTTCCCACGTGGCCGTATCTCACTCATCTTTGCACTCCACCCAAAATTCCTGATCTGTAAGATAAGGAATTATTTCAAGTACGTTACAGTTCTGTTTTTTCCCCTCCTCCAGCATTTATCTGTTCTCTGTTCATGTGAGGCTAACGGTTTTCCGTTTCTGACTCTAGGTCACCGGGTTGTTCCATAACCCAAGCATTGGCAATGCAATTCACATCGTTGTGGTTCGGCTCATTCTACTTGAGGAAGAAGAGGTAAGGAATAGTTTCCCCACGGGTCTTGTGACCTGGGTCTTCACACTCCCTACCTGCTTCCTTCAGAAGAGCTGTGCATGGACAAGAAAGGGTACCAGAAAGATGTTTGGAAGCCCCTCCGTGTTATTTTCTTGGGAATTCAGGGATGTCAAGTGGGAGATAGAGAACGTTTCCAAGATATACAGACTTGAAATCACCTGACGGTCTTTGTATCTAGTAACTCACAAATCAGATTGACAGCAGTGACTAAGAATGTTCCACAGTGGAAACAGACTAAATCATGTTATGGCTGGATGATTTCAATAAAAGTTAGGAGAGACATGGAAATACTGAACCTTTTACACCGTTTATTTACCTCTTGCATATTAATACATGTCTCTCGGATGTGGGCCCACTTGTCTCTCCGCACTTTTACTTGGGGATTTTATCTCTTCTCAGAGACTTAGAGAGCATGTGTATGCTGAGACTCAACTGATACCTCAAGCCCAGACCTCCTACTTGAGCTCCAGACTTACATCCAGTTGCTTATTTGACATCTCAACCTGGATGTGTTCTAATCCACTTAAACTTGGAAACTTAGTCCAAAGTGGAATTCTCGATTACTCCCTGCCCGAATCATCTCAGCCCTGCCTTCCACCCTTCCCCTACCCTCCATCTTACCCATCTCAGTAAACGGCGCTATTGGGCACTGTTACATAAGCCTGGGAGTCACTCTTGCTTCCCTCCTTTCTTATCTTCCACGTTCCACAGCAAGGCCCACCGTGCTCCTACCTTCAAAGTGCATCTCAAAATCACCCACTGTTCATCATGTCCACAGTCATTTTGTTGGTTTATGGCTTATATCATATCCTGCCTAGACTACCACAGTGAGATCCCAAATGCTCTTCCTATTTTAAGCCTTCCCTGACACCCCCAGCACCCTAATCCAATCTCTGCCTAGCAGTTAGAATGGCAATTTTAAATACAAATTGAGTTGCTCCACTGAGCAAAACTATTTAATGGATTTATGTTGTTTTTAGAACAAATTCAGCATTACTTACTGCATCCTGCAGAGACATTTATGGTCTAGCCTCCATCCACCTCTCCATTTTTTCCTTGTGTCACTCTCTGCCTCGCTTACCCCACATCCCCCGACTCTGCCCCCCCCCACCCCCGCACTGGACTTCACATAGGTTCCAGAACACGCAAGGCCCCCGTCAGCCTCATGGCCTATGCACTTGAGGTTCCCAGTGCCTGAAGCACCCCTGCCCTGGCTCTGCTCGTGGCTGGCACCTTCTCACCTCTCAGGCCTCTGTTGAAATGCTGCCTCTTCAGAGAGGTCTCAATGACCAGCCTACCCAAAGCTGGTCCCACTTAACTGTTCTCCATCACAGAAAGTGATTTACTTCCTTTATTGATACCACTCTTGCAATTCATTAACAGTCTGTGTATTTGTTTACTCTTTTCTTATTTATCTCAGCCACCATCAGAATGTGAATTCCATGAGAGCGGTAACTATGTCCCTTTATCCTTGGCTTTGTCTCCAGCACTGAACACAGTGCCTGGCCATGAATGAATGAATAAATAAATGAATGAAGTAAAATTTAGTGAATGACTGAACCAGCCAACCTGATGAAATGACTTTACAATCTATAGCACTCAGCCAGCAGCTGAGATATGTGAAGGGCATCCTTCAAATCTTCATCAGCAAGAGATCTGAGGTCAGAAGGCTCAAGGCGGGGTTGATTGTTTTCTGAGTAGAAGCCTCCAGGCAGAAGATTTTAAAACAAAGATTTCTGGAGTCTGATCCTTTTTCCTTTTTCTCCCCTCTACCACCCCTGTTTCCCTTAGTCACTCAAGATATACTGTGGGTATCTTGGAATACCGATGGATATATTATTTCCCTTCCTGTAAACCTTTTGTTAAGAAAATTTACCCAAAACTTAGAAACCAGGCAAAACAAAAACTATGCGTCCTTTCAGTGTCTAACATGACCTATCTCACTCTATGGGAATGTTACTTTGTTTGATTATTATTCATGATTGATTAGGGTCTAGACATGGTAAAGTTAGGTGTTAACGTGCAGGAAACTGATAGAGTACAAATGGGTTTTGGACAGTAGAGATGGAAATGATTTGTGTCCAGCAAGAAGATGACTCCAAAGATTATGGTTTTATTCGTCTGTGGAACATTATATAATTTTGTATCTAATGTAGCAGTCTTAGGCCAGCATTCTTTTTTTTTTTTAACTGACTATATTTGCATCAGTTTCATGTATCTGCCTTTGAACCAGCTTTGCCATCTTGCTTGTCTCCTTATTAGTGAGTTAAATATATCTTGAACATGTGCTCACTATATATCTGTATGAGAATTATGTTTTTAACTGTTTGAAAATTATACCTGGATACCTTGGAGGACAAATTTTCACTACTGTATAATGGCCTAGCATATATGCATGCTTAGCTACAGGGAGAAAAAAGGAAGGTTCTTCTGGGTGTGGGAAGGAAAAACCTTTACCCTCTGCAGTTTCAACAGCAGCACTAGTGGGAGCTCAACATGTGGCTTCTGTGGATTTGGGGCCCCTTTTAACTCTGTAGCTCTTCATTCCAGGAAACAATGCCACCAAAGTCTTGCTTCCAGTGGAATCCTTTGAAAGAACTTGATTGGCCATTACCTCTCTGACCCCATCACAGTTACACTGTTTTATTTCTTCCCTTCCTCATTTCGCCAGTGCAAAGAGACACATGATTTGCTGCAAAAATCCATGGCTTCCTCTCTCCCACTTGCCAAATATCTTCCTCATTCAAGCTTTTATAGAATCTCCAAGTGGTACAAGGTTCATAATTTGACAACAGAATGGCCAGCCCATTGGAGAGTTGCAGTTCACAATTCTCATTTTCTTGATTCCCAGATCATGGCTCTAGCTATTCTTCACATCTTGGACTAATGAGCAGCCCCATCAACAGCAAACAGCAATGATTCCAGCCCTTAACTTACATCAGGGTACAGCCACAGGCAGAAAGTACAGTGTGAGGTATTGGGAGGTGACTGCTCTTGAGCAAGGAGACCTGAGTTCGAGTCCTGACTCTGTCATCATCCCGTAGGTAACTCTGAGAAAGTCACATCATTGCTCCATCCCTCCTTTTTTCTTCATCTGTAAATGAGAAGCAAGTTATGGTACGTCAACTATATGTCACATGCCGTGCTAGCTGGTGAGGATACAAATATGAATCAACGTTGTATTCCTGATTCTGAGGAGCTTAGCATCTCCTGCACAAAGGCACAGAATAGAAAATTTCAAGTTGAGCTTGTCATGAATACAAAGAAAAGCAAAAGAGTACCTGGGATAAGGAAGGATACTTGGATGTCTATGCTGGGTTTTAGAGGACGAGAAGAAATTAACCAGTGAGGAAGGACATCCCAGGGAGGGGAACCTAGAAATAGGGACAATAGCCTTAGTGCTTAAACTAAGCACTAAGCATGCATATATGCTAGACCATTTATCTGTGAGGGGCTGTGAACACATCACTGATCATGAACCACAAAATGGGAGGCTCAGAAACCTTGTTGTGAAAAAAGGAAACAATGAGATTTTGTCGGAGGCAGGAGAGAAAACAGCCGATCGAAACCTGCCCACCTCCGTTCACACCTGGTCTTGTTCCAGTGTTACCTGTCTCTGTGTGTGACATCATCATCCTTCCTGTTGTAGGAGTCAAAGACCCAGAAGGCATCCATGACACCTCCTTCTCCCCCCTCCACCCCGTATCCAGCCCATCATCATGTACTGACAGTTTTCTCTGACCGTCTCATTTACATCACTTTAATTCAGGATACAGTTCTCTCTTTCCTGGGCTATAGTTGTATGTACTTTCTGGTCTGCTTGGATTCCTTTCGATCTTGTTTTCTCATTGCAGCCAGGATGATCTCAAAATGGTAATCTGATTATCTCTACCCTCCTGACACCCCTTTCCAAAGCCCATCCCTGGTTTAAAGCAATCCAGTGTTTTTCTGATTCCCTCTCTAATCACTTACTATGCCCTCCTTGCTCTTGAGATAGAGTGATAGTCTTCTACTTATCATGCTTTCTCCTGCTGCTGGTCTTGTTGTTACCTGGACTGTCTCCCTTTCTGACTTCACTTAGTTAACACCTTCATCCTTCAGATCTCAGCTCAAGTGTCTCTTGGCTGGGGAAGCCTTCCCTGATGTCCATGCCCGGTAATATTTTATTATATACTCCCACAATACTGCATTTCTCCTTCATAGCACATATCCAAGTTGTAACTTTACATCTATTTGCCTGACACGCTTTCCTCCATTAGTGTGTAAGACTGGGTCTGGCAGAGGTTGGGTCTGGTGTTGCTTGCCACTTAGCCCTACTGGTATATAACAGATAAGAGAAAGAGTGAATGAGTGAGGCCAGCAGTCAGTGGGTGAAGATAAGTGGCCAAGTCATGACAAGCCTGTGGCCCCATAAAGGGGTTTGGATCTAATCCTGTGGGACTCTCTGGTTGATTCCAAACTGAGAGATGAAATGGAGAGAAAGGCATTAAAGAGATGGCTCTGAGGCTCTGTGGGAAGTGACATGAGGTGGGGAACACTGAGGTAGGTCTCTTCCATCAGTGACTTTCTATGGCTCTCATCTTTCTTATTCAAAGTCATACCTGACAGCTAATACCATTTTGGAGTTCATTTTCTGTAGTGGGTTCCAGAGACTTGGTGATTAACCTACATACATAAAATACAGTTTCTCTATGTCAGTTACTGCCATGTAAAAAGCCACTGTGGAATTTCATCACATTTTGAGAATAAATTACTAATTTATTGATGCAATACTAATATGGGAGCATCCTGGAGACATCTCAAAGAATAGAGGGTCATATTTTGGACCAGTGGAAACTCAGGTACACAAAACCATGAGCTGGAAAGATTTGTCTAGCATATTAAGACATCATGGTGAGATGAGATTGGCCATGTGTTGATAATTTTTGAAGCTAACTGATGGATTCATGGGGATTTATTAC